AGATGAGATTTCGTTTGAAGGAATAACTGATATACAAAATGAGGCTCTGATTAGAGAAATATTTGAGGAAGAAATAAGGGAGGCAATTTGGAGTTGCGAAGGTAGTAAAAGTTCGGGGCCTGACAGTTTCAATTTCAGCTTTATAAAGCATAATTGGTTTACATTGAAGATGAATATAATTAAAGCCATTGAAGAATTTTAGAGGGAAGGAAATATACCAAAAGGATGCAATGTCTCGTTCATCGCACTCATCCCAAAAGTAGAAATCCTTGTGGAATTGGATGAATATAGACCTATATCCCTTATAGGTAGCCTATACAAGATTTTAACAAAGGTTTTAGCAGGGCGCCTGAAAGGAGTGCTAAATAAGGTAATAAGCGAGTCTCAATCTGCTTTCTTGGAAGGTAGAGGTCTCTTGGATAGTGTTGTGACTGCAAACGAGGTAATACATGAGTATAAGAGCAAAAGAAAGAAAGAATTGATACTCAAAATAGACTACGAAAAAGCCTAGATTCTGTAGATTGAGATTTTCTCTTCTTTATGTTAGAAAAACTCGGGTTTAGCAGGAAGTGGGTGAGGTGGATTGAAGGTTGTTTAAAATCAGCGACCATTTCAGTACTGGTAAATGGAAGCCCAACAAAAGAGTTCCTTCCTCAAAAAGGATTAAGACAGGGAGATCCCTTGGCACCATTCCTTTTCTTAGTAGTAGTTGAAGGGTTAGCTAGGGTGGTGAGACAAGCAGTTGCAAAAGGGAAGCTACAAGGAGCCACGGTGGGGGAAAAAGAGCATTTGGTTAATATCCTACAGTTTACAGATGATACTCTATTTTTAAGTGACGCAAATCATAATAACATTATAGTAATGAAAGCAATTTTGATATGCTTCCAGGTAGCATCGGGATTTAAGGTCAATTTAAGAAAGACAAAATTAGGAGGTATAGGGGTGGAGTATGTATTACTGGAAAGATATGCAAGAGAATTAGGTTGTAAGACAATGAAACTGCCCTTTAGATACCTAGGGTTGAAAGTTGGAGGAAACCATCGAAAGTACGAGTTTTGGGATAAAGTTATAAGTAAAGTAAAGAAAAAACTCTCTAGGTTGAGAGGTAGAATGCTCTCCTTAGCAGGGAGGATATGCATGGTAAAACCAGCTCTTTCGGCGGTACCATTATTTTACTTATCGATGTTCAAAATGCCTGTAAGAGTGGTTAAAGAAGTAACAAAGATCCAAAGGGAGTTTGTATGAGGGTGGGGTAAAGAAGGGAAAAATATAACGTGGGTTAAATGACAAAAAATATGTAGAAGAAAGGAGGATGGAGGGTCAGGGGTGAAGGATATTCAAAGGATGAACGAAGTCCTGCTAGTAAAATGGAAATGGAGGCTAGGTGTCGAACAAAAAGAATTATGGAAGGGAGTAATAGAAGCAAAATATGGGTCTTGGAGAGCATTAGACGAACCAGTAAACATTAAGAATGACTCAAAATGGTGGCTAGATATAAAAAGAATATGTAAAGATAACGTTGGTAGAACTTTGAATATGTAAAATAGAAGATAGGAAACAGGGAGAAAATTAGGTTCTGGGATGATGTCTGGGTCGGGGAACAAAGTTTAGGTAGTTTGTTCCCACGGTTGAAACAAATAGGAGTGAAAAAGGATGGAGTGATACCAGAACAGGGTGAGTGGATTGAAAATAGATGGGAATGGAAAGTCAATTGGAGAAGACATCGGTTTGAATGGGAGAAGGAAATGGAGGAGGAATTTCTAAGCATGATCCAGGGCATAACACTTTATAAGGATACCGAAGATACGTAGCGATGGGGCCAGAACAATGATAAAGGATTTGCCGTCAAAGAAGCGTGTGAGTTTCTATCCAATGTAACTTGCGAGGAGAACAAAATGATCTTCAAATGGTACTGGAAAATTAAGGGGATCCCAAAGGTCATGGTCATATGATGGAGAATTTTTCAGGATAGGATCCCCATTATGGTGAATCTAGTTAAAAGAGAGTTTGCTGATCTAAAATGCGCTCTATGTGGAAGCAAGGACGAAACATCTAATCATCTCTTTTTTAAATGTAAAGTGACTAGTGAGATTTGAGACAAGTGTTTTAGATGGGTGAGAATTAGTTATGTGTGCTATTGGGAGGCGAAAACAAACCTAGAAAGCTTTGTAATAGGAGAACTGGGAATGAAAGAAAATATGTTGTGGAAAAGGCTATGGGTAGCAGTGGTATACGAGATATGGTCTCAAAGGAACAAGTGCATTTTTAAAAATGAGAAATTCGATGCAGAAGTAGGATTCAGTAAAACAAGCGCAAAATTTATAGCATGGTGTGTTAGAGACTGAGATGGAGTGAGTATACCAAATTCAGACTAGTTCTATGAATCGATAAGGTGCATGAGACTAATAACTATATAACTTCTCTCTAATATGTGATAGTTGGTATATGTGTTAGCAGATTAAAGCATGAAACTCTAATATAAGGACAAGAATCCTCACAAGGTGACGGAGGGTGGGAGCATCTAGGGATTGTTAGGTCCATGTATTAGTATTGACAGTATCTATGTTACTGATTGGAACTTAGCAGAAGTTAGTCTCATTTTGTAATGTGCGAGTTATTGAAATTGTGTTCATAGACATTTGTGAGTTGAATAGCGCTAGACCCAATATGTTTTTGCTCTTTTTGTCTTTTGTTTCCTTTTGTTGTATATGGATTGAAGTACCCTTTTATACTTCTATTAATTTTATTCTTTTTTGCGTAAAAAAAAAAACAGTTACTTCAAAGTAGAATCTAAATATATGACTTTAAGAACCCTTATCGGTGATTTAGATGGTAAATTGCTTTAAAATGTAAAAGAAGTTTCAACGATATATATATATATATATATATATATATATATATATATATATATATATATATATATATATATAATTCAAAACTAATGTAAAAATCAAAAAATATATAATCAATCGCAACATTTTGTTGTATATTAAATGTTCGGGGGATTTTTCCTAGCTAAATACTTTTACTTCATCTTATTGATCATGTTCATGTCTCTACCCTTTGATTACGACGTAGAATTGTTAATTTTTTTTATAATAATTTTATAACTCTTATATAAAATGAGTTTTATATGGTTAACCATGTGAAAATACCTACTTACTCCAATAATATGTCAAAATTAAACTCCTAAAAAAGAGTGAAAGAAATAAAGTAACTGTCGATGTCTAGGTATTTCTTTAAAGTAAAATAATACAAGAATATATAGTGACACTTTTAAATATAGTGAAAAGGACTCAAATTCTTAAATGTAGAATTTAGGAATGTAGTAAAATCTTATAAAATTTAGTTTTTTTTTGGCTTTGGTATATGATCATGCCTGAAGAATACAGAATAATGTGATTTCAGTGAAAACGAAGGATAATAAAAGAGACACCACAATGAAAAGGCTTCACTAGCGAGGAAAAAAATAGAATAATTACGCGAGAAAGAGAAAGGTTTTAAAACGGTAAAGAATGAAAAAGGTTAAATTAAAGTGGATGAAAAATAAAGTTAGAATTGGTTCGAAATTTTTTAACTTAAAATAGTAGAGAAAGAGAGAATTAATAATCATCACACTTAAAAAAAAAAAAAAAAAATCATAGCATGTGTGTCTTCATTGTTTGAACTAATACTTCACTATCATGTGTGTGTGTCTCTCCATTGTTTGAAGTAATAATGGACGGCCTAGCCGGCTAAATGGAATAAACATCAAAAGAGCTATCCTAGTGCATTATAGCATTTTCACTTGCCACATATACACCATTATCCAATTTTCTGATTCAATTATAGCCATCTATTTATTTAATAATTAATATAACAACAAAATAGATAACATAAGATTTATAATTATTCTAATTTTAATAAATTGTTGGAGATTTAACAATTAAATTACAATATATGAATAAATGAAAATATTATATTATAAACTAACTTTATAAGATTAAATATATTTTTAAATACGATATAAAAAATAGGATATGAGAAATAATAAATAATTGAAAAAAAATTCAATAATATAAAAAAATTATATCATAGAAAATAGATAGCATATTTAATAAATAAAAGAAAGTTAATTAATTATATTTTAACAATAAGGTAATTTGTATTCATAAAATTATTATATATTACTTTTTAAAATATTATAATAAAGTAATTCTTAGATATTGAGTAACTTGTAATTAATATTTTACCAAATTTAATGAACTCTCAATAAGATACTTTTATTTAAATAAAAGTTTTGTTTTTATTGATTATCTTTTACTTTTATATAAAGTTTCAAGAAAAAATTATTTCTAAATATATGATATTTGTAAAACTTAAAATTGCATTAATTACTACTTTACAAATTATAATTATGATTTTTAATTAATCATATTTTAAGGAGAAGAGATAATATTTACTTAAAAATATTTTAGTTGAAAATAGAATATTAAAATGATAAAAAAATACTAATAAAAAATAATAAATTTATTAAAAATAATATAAATTAATAGCTATCTATAACATAATTCTAAATGTTGTATGTTTAGAAATAGAGAGAATAATTTTCAAATAAATTAATTCAATTAAGTGTTACGGACTCAACTCTTTTAATTATAGTGATTTAATTTTTTATTTATATTCACAAAGTGTTTTAAATGAATCTATAATTAAAATAATAATAAGAATGTGTTTTGTTTTGAATGAATATATATTTTATTAATAATATATGTAATAAATATTCACCTTGAAGGTTGTTTAAATGCTTAAGACAAACTGTTTTTAATTAAGCAAGAACACATTAGGCAGAAGCAACACGTTGACTAATCTGATTCGTCGGGTCCAACAAATCTCGGGTGGACCCCACCACTTGCTTTATTGCCCCACCAAGCTACTCCTCGGAGCATTCGGCATCTGCCAAGTGTCCAGCCTAGCACATAGCCACGTGCCATTCCAACACCAAATCCCAACCACTACTTATGTTCCCGCTTCAGCAACTTGCCCTTGCATACACTCCACCTTTCACTTCCAAAATGAACCATTCCGCACCACCCAAACACCACTGCGTGGCTTCCCTAAAAACCCTAACACCCCACATCACCTGTCTAGCGGTCCACCGTAACCTCCTCTACGCCGCATCCTTAAACCTCATTAACGTCTTTGACCTCTCCCATTACTCCCACATCGACGCCTTCAACCAAAGCCCCACCTCAGGATTTGTCAAGTCCATCGCCTTCACCAACTCAAAGGTCTTCACCGCTCACCAAGACTGCAAGATTCGCGTCTGGCTCATCACCCCCTCCAAACGACACCGTCTCATCTCCTCCCTTCCCACTGTTACCGACCGTCTCCGCCGCTGCATCGTTCCCCGTAACTACGTCAGCGTTCGCCGCCACAAGACCAGGCTCTGGATCCAGCATTGTGATACCGTGTCCGGTTTAGCGGTGGACCAGAGGTTCATGTATTCGGTTTCTTGGGATAAGAGCTTTAAGGTCTGGGACTTGTCTAGTTACCGGTGTCTGGAGTCCGTCAAAGCGCATGAGGACGCGATCAACGCTGTGGTCGTTAACGGGGACGGCACCGTATACACGGCGTCCGCGGATGGGAGCATCAAGGTTTGGAGAAGGTACGGCGAGGCGAAACGGCACGCGTTGGTGAGCACCATTGGGAGGCAGAAATCGACGGTTAATGCGCTTGCGTTGGACGGCTGTGGCGCGGCGTTGTTTTCGGGAGGTTGCGACGGGGCGATCTGCCGGTGGGAGTGGGGGTGTGAGGAAATCGGCATGGTGAAGACAGAGAGGATGATGGGTCACAGTGGGGCCATATTGTGTCTGATCCACGTGGCGGATTTGTTGGCGAGTGCGTCAGCGGATCTAACGGTTAGGATCTGGCAACGTGAGAGAGGGAGGAGTGGGTATGGTTGCAGGGCTGTGCTGGAAGGGCACGAGAAACCGGTGAAGTCGTTGGTGGCATTTCGGGGAGGTGAAGATGAGTCAAACGGCGTGGTTAGGCTATTGAGTGGAAGCCTTGACGGGGAGATTAAGGTGTGGGAAGTGTTTGGTTCGGCTTGTTCTGCTACCTAATTCACCTTTTGAAACCCTCTCAGTAGGCTAGGTTAAAACTCTGAAACTAACGATGTATAAGTGTGCAATGCATATATACATAGTTAAATCCTGACCATAACCAGATTCTCAATGTCCATTTCGTGCTACTTAAGGGTTGTAAGATATGGTCATAATGCAGTTCTTTAAGTAAACAAAAAAGATATATGTTATGACTAATTTAAAACCATGGTACCAGATAAACAATCAAGATTGCCCAAATAAAATGTATCTACTGAACAAAAGCAACCATCATGAATTCAGCCTTCATTGCTTCGCGATCCACCATCACAGTGAAAGGGAGCATGAACCACAACTTACAACCTACAAGTCCACAAACCATCGCCACCCACCGATTACATAATAATTTTCCTATTAAATATAAGAGTATCTTTATGCATGCGTGGATTATTATTATTATGTATCTAGTTAAATTTAAATGGAGATTACAAAAAAAGGGGGGGGGGGGTTTGGATCTGTTGACGACGCTGGTTGAAGAGGGTGTTACTGTGACGTGTTCTGAGAAAACTCCATCACCGTCTTGCAATTCATGCTTCCTTTTGTAATCCTCACACTATATAGGGCCTGCCACTTCTATCGGAATCAAAATCTCTTACCCCTCTTGCGCCACCCCCACTCAATTCAGACGCTCTTACACACCATGTTGGAAATATTCTCCAGACAATGGTTGGAATGTTTTGAATTTGAATTGATTTTTTACTTTTTTTTTTTTTAATATCAATGAGAAAGTTAGGGGCTCGGATTTTATATTCCAAAGCAACTCTTTAGGCTACGTGAACTAGAGTAATAAAGGTCGGCATTTTCAATGTTTTTTCTTTAATCAGATAAAAATAATATTATTTTTTGTATTTTCTTCCGTTTTTTCTTTCATAGGTTTTTAAGAAAAATTAAGAAACATAAACAAGAGTTAATGAAAATAACTAGTAGTTATTACATTTACTTTATTTGAATTTCAGTTCTCAAAATAAATTTTTCCTTTTTATTTATAACCTAATATTTTTCTTTAACATTCTGTCTGCCTCCACTTCCTAAAAAAAGTGGGCTTGAATTTTTGGAGGTGCTTTTCATGAATTAGAAAATAAAAGCAAATTTATATATAGTAGCACACTGTGTGACTCTATATGTTAACTAGAAAATTTAATAGTGGAACTATATTTTCAAATGAATTATAATTTTTTATTTAATTTGATCTAATATTAGGTTAATAATAAATTAATTTTGATTTGATTAAAAAATATTAATATATTAATATCAAATTAATTAATTAAAAAATATTTAAACAAAAATAAAAAATACAAATATTTTAAAAACATAAATTATATTAATAATTATTTTTTTCAAATATAATAATTTAATTTATAAATTATAAAATGAAATATTCACTCAAAAGAATAAAAGATAAAAATTTACTTTTTATTATTATCATTATTTTTTAATAATTTATTAATCTAAAATAATAATTAATTTTAATTATCAAATTTTGAAACAAATGAATATTAAAAACTTATTTATATATTTATTTTTAAAATAAATAAATAATTTATTTAACAAATTAATTTATAATATTTTTTTATATAAATTAAAATTATTTTTATTTAAAAAATAATTATTATTCTATAAACATATTAGTTTATAAACCTATGAATAACATCATTCATCTAATCAGGTCAAATCGAATTAGATGTGATTCAATTTATTTATAATTTTTTATCTATCCTTTTTTTTTCAAAACTTTTAAATCGAGTTACTGCATCAATTATAATACATTTTTTTACATATTATATGAATTGTCTAATAATAATATAAAATTTTGACTGTATAAAAAATATTTTTAATTTAATTTATAAAAATAAAATTATATTTCAATTATACATGATTTCATCGAAATACGATTAACTTCGTTTTTTTTGGTATCGTGTTTTTTTCTTACATTGATAGTATGCGGAATGGTTGAATTTGAATAAGAAAATTGGATTGAGATGAAAAGTGTCATCAAGAAATATGACTTCAGATGAAAAGTGTTTATAAAAATCTTTCTCGAATTATCTCACTATTATTATAATCAACTCTAATAGTATTATTAGAATATAATTTTTTTAAGAAATATAATAAAATCATCATCGATATAATAATATTATAATTTATATACATCACGTTATCTTTTTTAAATAAAATAAGATGAAAGTTTATTTTTTTTAAGGGTTCTTTAATGGTTGTGCCGAACTCTATTTGATCAAATATTGCGTTTCTTGTAAAAAAAAAAAAAAAAAAACTCATTATAATTCTTTTAACCAATAAAAGTATTAAAAGAATATGAGCTGCTAATCAAGTCAAACCTATCAAACCAACGTGATATGATTCTATGCACTCAACATAAAACTACAACGAAAATGTTAATAGGATTACTTATTAAAAAAATTATTGCTAATTGATATATATTAAGAATTGTGAAAATGAACGTTTCAACCTAAATTACTTTTAGGGTCAAATAAACAAATTTTAATGATTTAATCTGACTTATATTTAAAGATAAGATAATATTTTTGGTCTAGTATGATCTTATGTTAGACCAACGGGTTAATGAACCATTTTTTGTCTAATTAAAAATAATTATATATATTTTTTCAATTTTGTTTTAAAAAAAACATTCATTTATTTATTTTAAATTAACTTATAACATATTCAGGTAAAATAAAATTAAATGTATAAAATCATAAAAATGAGTTACTATAGTTATATAGTCTTAACGAGCTATAATTGTCCATATCGAAGTCAAACATATCTTACCGAAATATTATATAACACATCTTTTAGTTTGTTTTCTTTTCAATTAAATACACGTTATAAATATCCGTAATTAAAGTGTTATAGTGATTAGTTTAAAATATTCTACCAAAAATATTAGATAACAAATGTTTCTAGTAATTGATTTAAAATCATGATTTAAAACTTTATTTACCTTCCAAACTCCGCCGTATTGAACATAGTTAAGTTTCACATTATGTAAGAAAGAGAAAGTTAATTAACATATAAAGAAGTATCATCCATAACATAATGTCTTAATGTTTTGGGTTAAGAGGGAAAAATTGTTAGGATTATTAGGAAACTCAAATATGAGTTAAGTACTACGTTGAATGAGAATGAGAAAACATATAAAGAAGTATGACTCATAACCTAATGCTTGAAGGTTTTGGATTAAGAGTGCTACATAATGTTTAGAGTATAAAAACATATCATATTAAATGATTGGTAATTAAAAACAAATGTGATAATTATATTTAAAAACATATTTAAAAACAAATGTGATAATTATTGCCTATTCTATTTAGGCTATAAACTTTTTATGTAGTGAAACCTATTTTTCGAATCATATCCATTACACTAAACTTATTTTAATCCCCTCTAGGTTTTATTAATATCCAGTGTAATATAAATAAATATCATTACCAATATTAATATCTTGAAATATAATATAAAAATATAATAAAATAAATATTGAAAAAAATACAATAGATAAAATAAACTTTTGTAATGTAAAAGATACTAGAAAACTATATTTATTATCTATCATTATATGTAAAAGGTAAAATACGAAATATTTATTTTTTTTAAAATGTAATAAAATCCTATTCTGTGAGTGAAAAAATAAATAAAAAGTTATTTATAATAAATATATTATTTTACATAGAAAATATTAAAGACCAATTTAGTAAATAATTCAAAAAATAAAAAAATACATGAATATAAAAAAACAAATTTTTTAAATAAAATATGTCAACTAGTATTTCAAAAACATTAAATGTTTTATTTATAAAAATATATTTTGAACTATTAATAATTTTAATAATATTTTAAAATTTTCAATAATTATAATTTTCATATTATCTATTTTACTATTCATCCACGAGTATGTATCTTAAACATTTCTTATAAAAGTTTTTTTTCCTTTATGATGGTTAATTTAACACTTGTTTGATATAAATAATTGTCACTAATTTAATGATTGATACAGTGGACCGAACATGTTGTGGAAATAACCATACACAAGCTGTTTTCCTGACCTTAGTCTCTTCTGTTTGGGAAACTTCACTGCTATAATTTTATTTCCCTCCAAATCCAAACGTGTGTTTGGTGAAGGTTGTGGCGGTGATCGGCGTAGCACAGAAAGGATAGCTGTATGATGGAGGAAGTCACCTTCGAGTGTGTACAGCCCTGAAACCCTTTCCTCTTTCTCTTTACTCAACAATTTATGTATGTTTTTCTAAATAAATACCTCACTTCTTCGTTCAAATTGGGTACACAGGACCTGATTCATTCCATATTGAAGCGCTTTTGGACGCTACGAGCGCTTGGTCACACACTTCTTCTCTCTTACCCCCTAAATCTTCCTTCTTCTTGTTTCCTTCCCATTTTATCCCAATCTCTAACTTCTTTTTCTGTTCCCATTTCAGAACGGGAAAATTTTGAAGCTAACGACGCTCCGGATTCCGAGGTTCTTCGCAATTTCCTCGCATTTCATTTCTATCTTTTCCATTTTTCGTTGGTTTACCTCATTGTGTTTGTTTCTTCACAATGATAAAATTTCTGAATTCCCCTTATGTTATGGGTGTTTGCAAAATTCGAATATTGTTTTTGGGCTGTTATTTCCAACAATTACTTCACTAACCTACCTGAGTATTAGGATAAAAAAAGGCAGATCTGCTCATGTATTGGGATTCTGTTCTGCTTAATGCATTGGATTTAACTTCGATACGACGTTTCTACAGCTTTTTAGAAACCTTGCTATCCACATTTATGTCTGTGTTAGTTTTGTGTTCATGTTTTTATTTACACTAGTGTGAAGTGACGTAAGGTCATTTTTTTCGGTTATTCCCATGGCCTATTGCCCTTATTGATTTATGGTACAGTCCTGTCATTTGTTTTTTCTTCATGAGTGATCCACTTATTAGCAATGCAAACTTAATTTTAGTTTCCTTCCTTCTATCTTATCGTTCATCTGTTGTTTTGAATGTCTTTGGTCTTTCAATTTCAACCACTTTATTAGCTACAAGGTACCTACATATCATATTTCAGTCTCAATCTGTTGAATTGGTGCATACGAATATGGTTGCCACAAAATCTTATTGTTACTTTTGGCCCTCTTGAAGAAAATTCAACTTGAAACTATGATCATATATAACCCTGAATGAACATGACCGTAAAGTTTCCATGTGGACCATCTACTATCTGGTTCAGAAATTTTGGCGGTTGATTAGCATTTGAAGTTAGTTGGGAAGCTATTTTATATATGCTAAGGAATTTTTTGTTGGATTTTTAATAGATTAGGGATCGTTGTGGCAAGCATGAAATACATGGAAGGAGTGCGTAATTTTTTCTATATATCATATTTGTATATAATCCTTCTCCAAATGCCCTGATTGTTTCTCTTTCAATTTCATATATTCACTATTTAGGTTTTGCTACATTTGTCTTCTTCAGTTTAAGATGTCTATCAATCTATTACAACAAATAACTTGTTTTTCAAAGTATATTTTGTAATCTATAACTGACTGTGTGCCATCAACAGCAGTAGCATCCTTAGTAGAATCTACATTCTCTAATATTTTAGTTATTCTCTTCAACTACATAATATCTTTTGATTAACTGTTGCATTGTGTGCCAATATCCTGCAAATGCTACAGCTAGGAGTTGGAACATCCAAGAAGAATCGGACAACTTCTGGTATTTATGCCATGTCTCCATTTTCTTATTCTATTGATAGTATTATTCTCTGGTGGAGGTTTTGTGATAAAGTCACGCAATGGTTGTGCTGGTATTGCAAATTGAACATTTGCATGTTTTACTCATTTCTCCATCTTTTCTGAACCAGCTAATGGCAATGCTCTGAAGCTTACTTGCGAACTTCTCCGGGTTTTTATCACAGGTTTATACATATTAAAAGCGAAACGCATTTGTGCCTCCTTGGTCTTGACTACAAGTTTGTTCATAATCTTTATCACCTTGATAAAAACCTTTCTGTTGATGCAGAGGCTGTTCAACGCGCTGCTGCTATTGCAGAAGCTGAGGGTGCTAGTCAAATAGAACCAACTCATTTGGAGATTATTCTTCCTCAGTTACTTTTAGATTTCTAAAGCATTTAAAATACTTATATGTAACTTCTACTTCGCTGCATCATCAATTTAGTAGAAAGGACATTAAGTTTTGTTGGTCCGAAGATATGTCAGATACAGCTAATTCATTCCAGGGACATTGAAAGAGAAAGAAAGGGGCTGGGATGAAAACTGTGGGAGTACCTGCTCTGGTTTCTTTCTATTGCTTTAGTTCGTTTTAGCTTGTGCTGCCCGATTGATGAAGCTACAGCAATTATGATTTACTTGTGTTAATCTATGAAAAGGATAATGCCCATATGATTTTGCTCTTTATTTTTTAGGTTGCGGGTGGCGTATTGACCATTTTCTGTGATGAAGGAAAGAATAATATTTTGGTTTGTATACATTTTGAACCTAAGCCTCTCTCATCTAGTTATCCGCGACATTCTTGAGCACACTAAACCAGTCCATGTCTAGAAGAGCAAGTTATTCAACATTCCAAATATGGATTCAGCATATATTAGTGGCCCGAGTTGGTCTGGATGAAACAAGAACCTTGATTCAAAAAGTAAACAACAAAAATATGATTGCGCTTTGTATTCAGCACGGATCAAAATAGTCAAAACATAAAAATATTTTGTATAATCACGTCTGCGGTAAATAGGAACAGTTAAAGCAGATATTCGTCTAACTTATTTTGAAGTTGAAGAGTACAAGTTGATTTTTGTTAATGTAAGAAGTGTATTTTTTTGTTATACAGGAAAAAAGAGAGTAAGAAAATTAATAAACAATGGTGAAAATAGTAAGTAAGACAATAAAATGATTAAAATTCAATTTAAAGAAAAGCTTTAGTCCAAGATATAATCTTAACTTTAGTTCTTAAGGTCTATCATTGATTTAAGGATGTGCATTTCCCCTTAACATAAATTAGTTATAGTTATTAACTAGCTTAATAATCAACCTCTCCTTACTTGATAACTAATAGAAATTCGTTAATTACTTTTCTTCAAACTAGACAACACTAAATAATATTTAGCATATCAATAACCGTAAATTTTAGAGAGATACACTTCTAGTCAACAACACATAGGTTCAATTCCTTTAGATTATATTATATTTCTACGATTACCACTAATAATAAAGACTAATAGAGAATTAAAATTCTATCGCTCCAGTTGATTTCATATTACCTTGTTAGTTGGAGAAATTAAAAGAAGGGTCAAAATAAAATAAAATAAGTATTTCCAAGTGTTGTCCAAACTTAGTAAAACCTAAAATAAGTATTATAATCAATTATTAGTGTTCTAGAAGTGTTGCCTACTTCAAAAAGATACATAAATTTCTGACTTTCCCTCCCTATTGAATTCCAATGGCCCTTAGTTTACTTAAAAAATATATATTTTGACATCTATTGAACAATTCAATAATAATAATAATAATAAATGAAAATAATAATAATTATTATTTTAATTGAGTTTTTAAATAGGTATATTTTATAAAAGGGTTGCCTATTCTTACTTCTTTCTTTCTCTAAGATAAAAACATAAACTAAAGAGTAGTAATATGAATTAGAATTTTCTTTTTACTAAAAACATATGGTATGAATGGATAAAAAAAATGAAAAAGTAGGACTTACAATTAAAATAAATTTCATTTTATCTTGATATTTATCTTCTTCTTGGATTAGATGTTCCAAAAATATATTTCGGATAGACTATTTTAGAACTGCATTTCAGATTGACTATTTTAAAACTTATTTTCGTAACAATCAATCCATAATATATTTTCAAAAACACAATTTGAAAATGAGTTCCAAAGCAATTAATTGGAATGTGTTCTTAAATTGAGTGTTCTGAATATGTATTTCAGATTGGTTGTTCTATAACTTTCAGAACACCCAGAATGCATTTCAGGTTCCCAATCTGAAAATGAGTTTCAAAACTACCAATTTAAAATGCATTTTTGAGTTGGGTGTTCCAAAAGTTATCATAGAACTCACTTTTGAGTCTGGAAATGTGTTTCAAATTGAGTAGTCTGGATTTTATATTTGATTTAGATTTCATGAACATTGAGACATGTATTATATAATAGGTATAAAATATTAATAATTTATGAGCAGAAAACAATTTTCAATAGAGATGGAAAGACAACAGAACAAAGAAGGAAGAGTTATGAAAGTACAAAGGATATATGGAGGGGTAGAGGAGAGGAACAGTAAACAAATTTGGTAGAATTTCAAATAAAAATTAGTAAAAAGATATTTTAGTTATTTTACATGGATTAAGGAGGGGTACAGGAAAAAATGATGTAGATGTGAGAAGAAGGAGTCGAAGTTAGAGGTGTTAATATAGGTTCTAACCCGTGAGTCAACCCGGCTCACCTCGGATTTGAGTCGAGTTTGGTTCGATTTTTTTCATTTCTACCAATAATGTGTTAAAAATGACCCGGCTCACTTAACCCACGGGTTAAGCGGATTAAAGTCGGATTATAGTGGGTTGACCCGCAACCCACCATTTATTTTAAAATAATTAATAATAATTTAGTAATTTTAATTGATGTTTTTTTTTCTCCACCTCTATTTCATGTTGTCATTACAAGTCAAACTCTCACTCAAGATTATCATCAAGTATGTTATAATGTTTGTCACGTTTCAGTTCCACGTTTCAATTGCATCATAACTTTTGTCATGTCAACGCCACAATGTTTCAATCTCGCATTTTAATTGCGTCACAACGTTTACCACGCTAGCACATTCGTTGCACCAGTACATTTATTGCGTGATCACGTTATCATTTTTAGTTGTATCATAACGTTTGCCACACTTCAATTATATTATAAAGTTTGTCGTATCATCACATTATTACGTTCAGTCTCATTATTCAGTCGTGTTTATTAAAAAAACGTGGGTTTCAACCCACCTAACACATCAACCGATAGTGAGTTGCACTGGATTGTGAAATTTCTTATTTATTATAAAATGAACCCAATTATTTTCAACTAATCAACCCTGCCGAAGTAAATGTGTGAAATCGATAGTAACCAACACAATCCATAAGAGAAAGGTCACCCCGAATTACTGAAAGCCCAATTTGTGCAAACTAAATAAGCCCACGGGCCCGAATGAGTGAAGAGGAAGCGTGTGAAGGAAGAAGCCGAAAGAAAGATGCCATCATGCCAACTACACGGAACTGCAGCACTCCAACTGAACAAGACACCCAACAAACACCAACGTATTTTAAGCCAAAACATCATCTCGACCTGTTCCATTTACTGCATCAGTATCGATCTGAAACAAGTAAATCCTTATTAATCCCTCAACCCTAGTTTCCTCCCGGGAACGCAATTTTCTATATGATGGAGGTAACCCCTTTCTCTTTCTTAGTTGTTTATCACTGCGATCAATCGTCGAGAATAGTTCTTCGCCGACGGAAACAACTCCCTATCGTTTCCTCTCTTATGATGAATCCTTTTACTGTTTCTCAACTTTGATTAGAACTTAGCCACTAAATACAGAAATTGTGAATTTGTTTCCATCGGTCAACTACATTACTAGAGAAGATTCTCTTTGAGTGGTGTGTATACTTATTCTGTTTTCAATTTTCAACATTCTGATAAATGGAATTTTATGATAATTCTCTTTCAGGAGTTTAAACACCGTCTGCCGTACCTATAACTTATATTTGTTATTGCACTCCCTTTTATTGTTGACCAATGTTATACATGTCCAACTACATTGTATGAATTTTTTTTTTTTTTTTTTCATTTAGAGGCCTAACCACGCCACCAGGCACATCTGAATTGATGATTATGGATTCTTTCTATTTTTGTACTATAAATTTAGCCTTTGATTCTCTCTGCTTGCTTACCTTAGGGGTGAAGTTCAGATAAAAAGAATAACGGGACGCTACTTGTTTGTGTTTTTCTTAGCTTGTCCTCTTATTTTCTGTAGTATTTGAAACAAAAACTAATCTTAAGTAAATATAATTATGCAAAAAAATATAAAAATACAGAGATACTGGTCTGGGAGTGCCATCAACGAGAACAAAGGAATGGTAGATAATTTGCGGCGTTATGGAATTATTACTTCCATAAAGGTAGGTGAAGTAATGGAAACCATTGATAGAGCTTTGTTTGTACCTGGTGGACTTCAACCTTATGTTGACAGTCCTATGCCGATAGGCTACAATGCTACTATCTCTGCGCCACATATGCATGCCACGTGCCTTCAGTTGCTGGAGGAGAATTTGCAACCTGGGATGCGTGCTCTGGACGTTGGCTCTGGTATAGTCTATGAACTATTTTCTATAATTATTATCACTGTCAGTGAGCCATCAATAATTATTTATTTTTCTAATTTGTTCTACTGAATTAAAGAGAAATGAAAAAAACTTACTAATTATGAATAAATTTTATTCCACTACTATTAGGTGTGTTGGATTTGTTGTTTACAAGTCATGGATAGACTAGATAAAATGTTGATGCCGGCTGTAATAATAAGGGTGTGCAGAAAAGAGTGGATGCTTTATTTCCTTCACTTAGTGAAGTTATAGAAGGATAATGTGTAGATTTTATAATGTAAAACCTTGATTGTGTTTATTGATAACACTATTAAGTTTCTCTCAGATTTGAGTAATCCCAGTTCAATGTGGAAATGTTGTTCGTTTCTTAGGTGCTATACAAAATTTAATGATGTTCTGTATAAAAGGAAAGAAATTTCAATGCCTTCGTTTTCTTTATTCTCTGCATTTGATGTAAACTATTCATACTCTTCTGGACCCCTTTACAGGAACGGGATACCTGACAGCATGCTTTGCCTTGATGGTGGGACCCCAAGGCCGTGCTATTGGCGTGGAACATATTCCTGAATTGGTTTCTTTTTCAATTGAGAATATTAAAAAAAGTGCTGCAGCTCAACCATTGAAAGATGGTTCCCTTTCTGTGCACGGTGGAGGTAAGGTTTTTAGGATTTCCATTGATATGAAACATTGAAACTCTTTTCCACGACAAAAATGCAATTTCACTTGATGTAATTGATAATGACAGTTTAAACTAGTCCATTTGTTGGATATGGGTGGTGTCGAAGGCGTATTGTGAGGTAAAGAATTGAATAACTTTAACGAGTTCTTCAGTTAAAAAGAAAATCATAACCTGATGGTCTGGATTTGAGAGTTGTTTGAAGTGAATGAATTAACTCAAGTAATCTGATAGTCAGGATTTGGATTTGTTTGATGTGATTGAGTAAACTTCATCTGAAAGAAGAGTTTATGCATATAACCATTCATGTTATGGCAATCCTAGATATTGTGGATTGTGAATGTCCATGTTCACTTTCTGTGATGGTAGCTGCAAGGTTAGTTATGTTTTTTGAGCAGTTAAATAATTTGATCTCAAGTTGGTGGATCAATAATTTCAATGATTTGAGTAATTTTTTGTATTGACAGATGGGAGGGAAGGTTGGCCCGAGTTTGCTCCTTATGATGCCATTCATGTTGGAGCAGCGGCACCAGAAATTCCCCAACCACTTATTGACCAGTTGAAGCCGGGTGGTAGAATGGTCATTCCTGTTGGAAACATATTTCAAGATTTAAAGGTCGTGGATAAGAACTCTGATGGTTCTATCAGTATCCGGACTGAGTCTTCTGTTCGGTATGTGCCTCTCACTAGCAGAGAAGCTCAATTGCGTGGTTAGTGAAGTGGATGTCTGGAAGGCTATGGTTGTCAGTACCACGAGCTGTAAGAATTTGTATAGTTAAATTTGCTGTTCTTTTCTTACCTTAAAACTAATGATTCATGTTGATCATTCAGAATAGTAGTAATAATTACACCATAGACATTATCGTTCGATGTCTGAATCCTGAATCTATTTTCTGGCTTTATTTAATACTACATAAAAATTTATCTTCTAACAGTGGTTGAGTCTTGTATTATGCTTTTATAATGTCTTCCACTTCCAATCACAAACTGTTATTATCTTTAACGTTACTACCACAATATTTCTGATGGTTGACATATAATTTAAACTCTTAACTTATTGTATTCATGTTCAAACATAGGCTGATATCGTATTTATTACTCATTGTCACACTTTTGCTGCAACATCGGTTGAAATCGTTATATTTTTAGCTGGTTTATTGATCTTGTGGTTTCATGATGGGCCTACATTTATCTTTATCTAAATATATGGAAAATTGAATATTACATCATAATTGAGTTTGCGAATGAAAATTTTGAAGTACGATACGACAGATCAAATTAGACATGAATTTACTGCTCATTCATAAACTATATTTTTGGGACAATTTGACACTTGGAATGCTTACTTATCAATTCAATGCATACACGAGACATGTTAAATGTTTCTCGGCAGAAGAGACTAAATATAGATGCTTTTTGTGATTGTTAAAATTGCTAGGGACGTGGGTGTTTTATTTTTATTCGTCTTTTGTCATGTGGATGTATTGTAATGACACATCTTGTGTTGTTTTTTTGCATGAATAATATTCAGTTTGCTTATAGAAAATCTAGACCAATTAATTATGAAGTAACATGGTAATTAGTCACAAATTATAAATATTACTAATTAATTTAATTATTAAAGTTAAAAATCATGAATCCTTTTAGCCCTTAATGTTAGGGTCAATTAATTTGATCATTGACTTTAGCTATTATCATGTGAAACTAAATTAACCAAGGATCTATTTAAACAATCTTTTCCCTAAACACTTCAAAAAAAGAAAAAATATGAAAAAAATGTAATGAACTTCTTTGTATTATTTACAACTTCAAAATTAATCTATTTACAAATTAAGAGAAAGTAATTTCATTTTTTTTTCATTATAGAAAAAAATTTATGCAAACACACTCTAACTTATTTATTTAAGAATTAATTAACTAATGTATTACTGACATTTATGTCATAATCACTATTAGAAATTATCATGAGAATATTTTTTGCAACATTTGTAAAAATTGCAAGAAATGAGTTTTTACAAATTTAAACACTGTTTTGTAAGAAAAATGACAGAAAATAACGCAAGGAAAAAGTGAAATAACTTTTAAAGGACAAGTGAAATAACTTTTAAAGGACTACCGTGTATATATATATATATATATATATATATATATATATATATATATATATATATATATATAAATCAACTGATAGTTATAATTTTAAAGATTAAATTATTGTATTATACATTTTTATGTGACTTTTGTGAAAATCATGCACGTGTCTGAAACATTTGAGCCAAGTTTTGTACTAACGACCCTCTTTCATAAAATCAAACATTGTAGGTCTTACGGCAGTGGTACTTACAATTTAGACTGTCCTCACAGATTACTGACGAATAGATTTAAGCACGTATTTAATGACATGCAATGATGATTCTCATCGCTAAATATGCAGCACAAGATTCTAAGGACAGTCTATCAAGAAGGCACAAAACAGATCCACTCCGACCAATTTTATTATGCATAGTCAACATTCAGCTAAATTTTAACCATTGATTAGTTATCATGCTGCAAAGGAACAAAAGATCACGCCTTAAACTTTGGAATCTTTATGGCATCAAGTCAATCTTAAATATGCTAGCGTCAATTCTATTCACCAGAAGATTTTCGAGCATCAATAACAAACAAAATGGTTGAAAAAAAATGCACAGTTTTTCCAAAATCCCTAAAGTTGGAACTGTAACTTTTGATCACTTTCATCTTGAAATCGAATTAATAACATTAAGATATGCGAATCTAATCTTAAACCAGCTGCCAAAGAAGGTAAAAATTGACACTGTATACTTAACCATTGAAAGGGAACTAAATCAGCCGGACTTGGAAGATTACTCTTAAGTTACCACTCAAAAGGAGCTGCGTCTAGGCCTTTCCTCTGCAACATTCACTCTGATTGGTCTCCCATCCAACTCCTGCAATAATATCAGAAGCACCATATCAGAATTTTACTCTGAAGAATTAACCACATCATGTAGTAAAGTACTTGTGTTAACACCAATGATCAAGTAATATAGTACTTGTGTGTTACCTGACCATCAAGAGCAGCAATTGCATCATTCACATCAGTCTCACTGGACATTGTGACAAAGCCAAAGCCACGCGATCGCCCACTCTCTCGGTCGTAGACCACCCGAGCTTCCACAACCTTACCATGCTCACTGAAAATTTGCTCCAGCCGTGCATTGTCAACATCCCATGGCAAGTTACCAACGTAGACTCTTAAACCAGAATTATTAAATGTTCGTGGTGGGCGTGGTGGGCGATCAGGCTGTGCTCCTTTTGGAGCGGCTTTATTAACAGTCAACAATCTTCCATTTAGTTCCTGTCACAGAAAAAGACGAATAAGATCCAAGACAACTCAAGAAACCACAATAGCAATTAGAAAAGAAAATCAATAGGCTTTTACAGCAAATGACATGTCACACAAAAAGACACATTCAACTTGGAAAAACAGCTAAGTCAAAACACCTTTGTACGAGCAGAAAAGTGTCCATGCTCATACAAAGTATAAAGAGAACAAAATTAAATTATAAAATTCAGTTTTATGTCATTCAGTAAAATAATAGTCTATGATTACATACAATAATATTTCAAATATAATTGCATGGAAGTTCCAATTTTACAGTGTATGTAGACATTGAAGTAAGAAGATATTCAGATGACATAAGGTAAAAGCTATCCATTACAAGTTTTAATCTGAACATATTTACCAATTTCTTGCCACAGTTTAAAACTCAAAGGCGTTTATTATAATGAAAGCACAAAAACATCATCATTAGAACAAACATGTTCACAAGCCTCATAGTCATAGGCCAAACCTCAAAATCTCATAGGTGAACTACTTTGAAGATAATCAAATAGAGGCAAACATACTAATAAAACTTTTCCCTTGTGTCTACACAAGCATATCATCATATTTCTCATATTCACCCCAAAGTTTAATAATGTACAACTAGCATGCAATTTAGAATCCATAATTTGACAACCGTGGACACGTTTGTTTACACTTATACACTGGGATCTTAACATCGAGAACTATAATAGTGTCAACATGTAACATATGAGCCGAGTGGAATGATCTTAGCCTCCATAGTTTGGATTGTTTAAATTAGATGGAATGTAGTAGAACACAATGACACACATCCTATCCCATTCTTTCTTCCCCTTCAATTTATTTTTGGTGAACCTAGACTATCTTCAGGCCAAGAGTCAGAAACTAATTTCTCAAAGCACCCAAACTAACTTCTCTTAACAGATGTTATTCATACACATAGGCCTAGGAATCAAACTTCTGACTAGATACCTAAAGGGCGAGAAATCTGGGAATATACCACACCACCATGTTGTAAGCCCAATCTTTTCACTGTTCCATCACAAAATTATCCAAACAAGAGAATAATAGAATTGTTCCTCCATAATTCTACAATCACCACTAAACATCCAAATCCAAACACAGTTTTCCATTTGAAAATTACACCATAATTACAACCGTTTCTGACTCAAAAACAAAATATAAACCAACACAACAACTTACATAACCACTGAACTTCTCGACAGCCTTTTCAACCTCTTCAAGCGTACTCATAGTGACAAATCCAAAGCCACGACTCCGGTCAGTGATCCTATTATAAATGACCTGAAACCACCGCCACCCACATTGAATCAAACATTTGAAAAGTAAAATCAAACAAAACACTACCATAAACAAGGACTCACTCACCTCGGCAGCCTCAACGGTGCCAGCCTGCTCAAAAAGCGAAGCCAATTTCTCGCTATCAACATCATAAGGCAAGTTCCCAACAAAGATCTTAACTTCCTCCGGTGGTTGAGCGAAACCCCCTCCGGTCACTTCCTCCACGGCGTCATCGTCACTTTCTTCAGTTCCCCACACACTGTCGCCTTGGTTCTCCCACGTGGGGTTCTCTTCCTCTTCTTCTTGGGCCCAATCCGATGTCTGGGCGACGAATGTGAGGACAGAGGGGTGGCGGTTGGCGTTGGTGGAGAGGTGAAAGAGCTTAGTATTAGAGCATGGAAATTGGAGATTGAGGCGCTTTGAGGGAATTGAGAGAGAAAGGGTTTTGTTTTTGGCGTGGAAGAGAGAAGGGAGAGAGAGAATGCAGGATTCCGCCATTGTTAGGGAGTTGAAGGAAGGCGTGGTTGTGAGAGAGAAAAGCATGGACATAGATAGAGTTTATGACATCACAGACACAACCAAACCCAACCCAGAAGAGATTGAGGAAAAGAGAGGATAAGGGGTATAATTGAACATAAGAAGTGGGGGGTCTCGGTGCCTCCTACTTCTACTTCTACACCCAAAAAAATAACCTACATTTATTATTTTATGATAGACAACATTAAAATCATACTTAAATCCAATACCATTTATGAACACTCTCAAAAAGTGTTAAGTAAATTATGATGAGTCTTTCTATTTTGCAAACTAATTGTTTCTCTTTCACAGTACGCATCTTAGTACTAAAAAATATTTTTATTATTATTTTATTTAGGATGGGTACTCCTTTATTTAGAGCAAGGTTTATTGTTTTATTATTATTAAAAATAAGTTATTTATAGATTTTAACTGGAAAATTAATAGATTGGGTTCAAATTTTTTTTTTCAATTCCAAAATATCCAAGATGAAATGAAAAATAGTTAACAATTTTACATATGCAACCTTTTAATAAATAATACAGAAAGTTATTTATTAAAATATTTAAATAAAATATTAATTATTTAAAGTAATTTTTCGTTGAAGAAATTATAATAAGTTATTTAATTTTTTTAATGGTTATTTCATCAAACCATTCACATAAATTAATACATCGGATTAACAAGAGAGAAAATAAATTTTTTCGAATTTATTAGAATTTTTTTATGAAATACAATAAATTGTTAAAAAATAATATAATATAATATAAATATTTATTTTAATATTTCAACTCATAATAATAATAATAATAAATTATTTTTATCAGAGATGACCCAGAGTTTCAACTTTTAGTTTAGAATTTTGATAGACAAATGATTTGTTTATATTATTGTTAGTGTAAAAATTAAATAATTTATATTGAAATGATAGAATTAGTTATTTGTAGTAATTATCATATTATTGTCTTTTTAACAATTAGGGAATTAATTAATAACTGAGATACAGTAAAATGATTTTTTCTTTTTCCTTTCTTTCCTATCCTTGCAATCATGTCTGACAAGATTACACCACTCATAAACAAAATATTAAAAATAAAATTTATATAGAATAAATTTATAAATAATATATTTAAAAATAAATATTTAAATATAATATTTATTAATTTATTTATTTAATTATATTTATTTATTATATATATCTAATTTTTATTTTCTTTTTTTATAATTTCTTTTTTGTTTTCTTTTTCTTTATTTTATTTTTCTCCTTTTTATCCGCTTTTTTTAAAATGTTAGATTAAAATTAAAAAATATATTAAAATAATTTGTTCAAAATTAATATTAAAATTAAAAATATCAATTAATTATTTAAAATTATAAAATATTAAATAATTAATTTAAAATTATTTTATCATAATAAATAAATTACATATTTAATTAAAAATAAAATATGAAATATTGATAAATTAAATATATTTTTATTTAGTAATTTAATATAAATACTATTAAATTAAGTTATAATAACCAGTGAAATAATTAAAAAATATTTATAAAAAATATTTTACAGTAATTTTTTTTAATAATTATAACATGAAAATAATATTTATAATATAATATCTCATAATTTATTATATAATATTATTTTAAATATAATATATTAAATTATAGTATTATAGACAATTTAAATATTTTATTTGTAATAATAAAAAAATTATTTTATTAAAGTTTAATATAATATTTTTAATTAAAAAAATAAGATATAATAAAAAAATAATAAAGAGAGACTATTAACCAAAAAAATTGAGGAAAGATAAAAAAATAATTATTTCATATTAAATAATTGTATTTTTTATTATTACAATTTTTGTGTATAAAAAATAATAAATTTAATTAAATAAATAAGTTGATAAAAAGTTATTTAAATATTTTTAAAAATATATTATTTATAAAATTAATTATGTAATATAACTTTGAATAATTTATTATTTGCACAAATATAAAAGACAATAAGAAGGGACAAAAATGCATAAATTATAATATAGTTTGTTTAGTGCAATAATCAACTTTACTCATAATATTAATTTGTTAATTATACATGGTGGCTTAAGTGTGCTACTGTTTTCCTACATTTTAAAAAAATAAAATAAAAAAGAGAGGTGTGCTAAGAATATTGACTTTTCTTAAATATTCAAATTCAAATAGAAAAAAAAAACACTACTGTTTTTCAAGAGGTGTTTCTAATTATAATGAAATTTATGAATACAAAAAATTAGAGAGAATATTTTATTGTATTTAAAAAGTGAGGCAATAAAACTTATAAAATTTTGAGAACAAAAGTATAAAAAAATAATATGAATGGAGAATATTTTTTTCTTTTTCTAAAATTTTAAAATCAAGGGTTTTCTTTTTCAATTTTTCTTATTTTAATTTCTCAAATTACAAAGATGTGTTATGTCTCTATTTAAATGTTTAATATCATAAATGTAACTAAGGTTATAACGGCAACAATTGATTAAATAATATATTGTAAAAAAGTATTTAAATAAAATAATTTTTAATTTATTTATTCAATTAAACTAGTTAGAAATATATTAAAATTCTTTGAGTAGGAGTAAAATTCTAATCCTAATTTTTGAATCCACTGATTATCATTGAAATTAAGTGAGGAGAGATAAAAAAAATCGTATTTATGTAAAAGAATTTTAATTCTTATAATTGAATTGGTATATAAATAATAAATATGTGTTAGTAGAATAAATAAATTGATAAAAATTTATTTGAGTAATTTATTTTAAAAATATATTGTTTATATGATTAAGTTTTGCCATGTAAACAAGTCTGATTTTAAAAAAATAATGTTTATTCTAAATACTATGCTTTTTTATTAATAATCGTACTAGTATTAGTTCTCGACTATTTTAACTTAAATATTATAAAAATATAAGGTTAATTTGATAGTAAAAAATAAAGAGAGAAACATTATTAATATTTAATATTTGACGATGAAAGTTAAAGTTAATCAACAAATAAATACGATTTTTCTCTTTCACATCTCATATTATTTAACGTTATTTCCATCATATTAATTTTTAAAGTTTGTTTGGAGCTTATTTTCTAATTACACACATTCTTATGTCGATTTTTATGGCGGTGTTATTTTCTATAATTTTTTTTATCTAATAAGAAAAAAAGTGTCAAAATATGGTTATTTTAGAAGAAAAAAACGATTGAATCATAAAATAATTATGGAAAATACATTATGTATTTCTTATTTTGGAAAAATTACAAAAGATGTATAAATAAAATACATGATAATAAATCTATATACTAATCAATTCTTGAAAATCAAAATAATATTTTCCTTATAAATGTTATACATAATTGTGCATAAATAATAAAATAAACTGATTATATTATCATTAAATCCTATTATAATTAAATTATTCTAATTGATAGTATTGATCTTCAACACTCCCCATCAATCTGAGTGGTAAATGTGTTAGAATCGCACATCGAAATGTTCGCGTGGTCGGACAAAAACCAAGAGAGGGGTGAATTGGTTTCTTAATAAAAATTAGGTTTTAAAATTTTTTCCCAAATTTTACCGATTAAAATACTGTATAAATATAAATAAGATAGAGATAGAGTCTTACACAGGAGATTTATACGGGTTCGGATCAAAAGACCCCACGTCCAGTTGCTAATCACTCAAACAGAGGATTAACACTGTCACTATAATCAAAGTTGTTACAAACAGATAACAATTGAAAATACAAAGTAAAGAAAACACCTCTCTTGAAATCCACAAAGATGAAGAACAACTTTCCCTAGAGACGGCACATCACACAATCCACTAAGAACTCCACTTAGTGATTCTTATCGCTTCTAGCTCACACCAGGTTCCATAAACCCCTTTTTCCTCCAACAAACAGTTCTCTGACACTCACAACACTTAACTTTTGTTTGAAAAAGGTTGTTCAATTTTCTGAGAGCCTTAGAAAACCTTAAGTAGAGAAATTAGGGTTTGGGAATTGGGATTTTCGGAACTAGAGAGTATTGGGATTAGGGTTTTCGAAAATAGGGTTTATTTGAAGTTGAAAATCAAAATCTGACTGAAATAATCGATTAAATGAAGTGTTAATCGATTATTACAGAGCCAAAATCAATAGAACCCCAAAACTCTCTGTTTTAATCGATTAAAAGCCCTGTTAATCGATTAATAGGTTTGTTAATCGATTAACAGGTGTGTTAATCGATTATTACAGTGAAAAAATACAGAAAATGGTTTTTCTCACTGTAATAATTGATTATTTGACCATTTAATCGATTAAAGCCGAGACAAACTGATAAATTTGAGTTTTTGAAGCTTCTAAAGTGCAGACTATGTACAGGCTATCTTAAACTTTAATATTACAGACTCAAACTAATCAAAACAGAGTTATTACACAATAAAACAAGTCTTCAACTCTCTAAGTTCTTTGTTCTTGAATCATCATCAAAATCAACAAGCTTCATGTCCATGTAAGTTCAACATCAAGTCCTTGAATGTTCAACAATCTCCCCCTTTTTTATGATGATCAAAATTTTCTTTTTAAAGCCTTGTAATAACCTGTTTTATCTGTCATACTAACAAACACATTAAACATACCAGATAATATTTAAAATCAATCATAGTAGGCTTTAAATATTTCTCCCCCTATTTTGATTATAATAAAAAGGAATTCTTCTATAACAATCATAAGAGCTCCCCCTCAAAATATGCATAACTTGGAGATAACTCCCCCTCAATCAAAGCATTAAAAGAACACCATATTTTATTTCAGAAATGAAATTACATTACAACACAAAAAAGAAAATAAAAACAAATTTAAAATTCTTCACTATCATCACTATGAAAGTGTGCATCAAATCTATTTTTTAAATGACACACTTTATCATATACATCAGATATATAGCGAATTATTTCCTCATGCCGTACTCCAGAAAGAGTGAAGAATGCCTGCATCCTCTGATTCATATCAGATAACATATTTTCC